TGCCGGTCCATGGTCCAGGGGTTGGGGACCCCTGCTGTACTTATTTAATTGTTCTATATTAGAAGTAAAACTTTGATTAGATATCAATAATGAAAAAGCAGAGGAAAATGAATCAAAACAAGCACTAGTTAAATTAATTATAAAAGCATTATTAAATGTAGTTATCATGACTTCTTTTCATTTTAGATTTCAAATTAATCCATATAGTTTTGTTGAGGATTTGAAGACTTAAAGATTGAGGGGGGGGGGATTGACATAGTCTAATGGTAAAATATGTCAACTCTTGACATCTCCAGGAAGGGTGAAAAAAAATCCTTCCTGAAAAACTAAGAAACCACTTTGGTCAGCGTAAAACAGTACTGACCTGGGATAACACTGGTTCCTGTATTCCAATTGAGTTATTATGTTGTACATGCAAATCAAAAATCAATACAAGCACATCAGCCTGCTTGTACTAAATGTTCATCAGAGAGGAACTCTGTGCAATTTGCAGTCTACCCGTTGTCCTTATAAACAACTTTTTTCATCCTGGGGCAATGCAGATTATTGGTTTCCAGCTTCTGTTATGTCCAATCCACCACTTCTTCAAGCATCAGGATGAGAAAGACTTTAACTCATTCTGTATCAGTTCTATTTTAGCAAAGTGAGCACTGGGGGCACAGTAGTTAACTGCAGTATTGCAGGCAAACTCTGCCGACAGCCTGCAGTTCGATCCTGATGGGGCTCAAGGTTGACTCAGCCTTCCAGCCTTCTGAGGTTGGTAAAATGAGGAGCCAGACTATTGGTGGCAATTTGCAAATAATGCTGACATTGTAAATCGCCCAGACAGTGCTCTAAAGCCAGGGCTTTTTTTCAGCCGGAACGCGGCGGAACCGCGTTCCGGCACCTTTTTCCGGGCCGGCCGCACCGGGCGCAACATCTGGGGGGGCGCGCTCGCACTCGCAGCTCTCTGCCCCTGCCTGGCTCACAACCGCGGCCATAGGGAGGCTCGGTCGGCGCGCCCCTGGCCCGTTTCCTAGGCGACCCTGCCCGA